GTGTGTGTGTGTGGAACGTGTGTGTGTGTGTGTGTGTGTGGAACGTGTGTGTGTGGAACGTGTGTGTGTGTGTGTGTGGAACGTGTGTGTGTGTGTGGAACGTGTGTGTGTGTGTGTGGAACGTGTGTGTGTGGAACGTGTGTGTGTGTGGAACGTGTGTGTGTGTGGAACGTGTGTGTGTGTGGAACGTGTGTGTGGAACGTGTGTGTGTGTGTGTGTGGAACGTGTGTGTGGAACGTGTGTGTGTGTGTGTGGAACGTGTGTGTGTGTGGAACGTGTGTGTGTGTGGAACGTGTGTGTGTGTGTGTGTGTGTGGAACGTGTGTGTGTGTGTGTGGAACGTGTGTGTGTGTAGAACGTGTGTGTGTGTGTGTGTGTGGAACGTGTGTGTGTGTGGAACGTGTGTGTGTGTGTGTGTGTGGAACGTGTGTGTGTGGAACGTGTGTGTGTGTGGAACGTGTGTGTGTGTGTGTGTAGAACGTGTGTGTGTGGAACGTGTGTGTGTGGAACGTGTGTGTGTGGAACGTGTGTGTGTGTGGAACGTGTGTGTGTGGAACGTGTGTGTGTGTGGAACGTGTGTGTGTGTGGAACGTGTGTGTGTGTGGAACGTGTGTGTGTGTGGAACGTGTGTGTGTGTGTGTGTGGAACGTGTGTGTGTGGAACGTGTGTGTGTGGAACGTGTGTGTGTGTGGAACGTGTGTGTGTGTGGAACGTGTGTGTGTAGAACGTTGAGATGTTCTTCAGCACATTTTACTCCACAAACTGGTTTCTGTGACACTTTAAAGCTGCACTGTGTCACTTCTTCAGACGCTCGTCTCCATGGAGATGTTGTTGTTTTGTCTGGAATGTTCCACAGTTTGGCCTTAAGCCTTTCTGTCTCCATGGAGACCAGACGGTGTTCCGGGTCAGGTCGAGTGGAGCTGTTTAAAGTCACACTGCGGAACATTCTGGGCAGAGCACTGACGTCTCCATAGAAACAAACAGCTGATGGAAAGTTCCAGAGTGCAGCTTTAAAGATGAACTGTGCAGCTGCAGGACAGAGGCGTCACCATGGCAACTGTCAGTGGGGATTATTTCACTAGTATTTGTTTTATTATTAGAGACGAATCAGAATCATCAGTGACACACGGTGCACCTGTCACACACTGCACCTGTCACACACTGCACCTGTCACACACTGCACCTGTCACACTCTGCACCTGTCACACTCTGCTCCTGTCACACTCTGCTCCTGTCACACACTGCTCCTGTCACACACTGCTCCTGTCACACTCTGCACCTGTCACACTGTGCTCCTGTCACACTCTGCACCTGTCACACACTGCTCCTGTCACACTCTGCACCTGTCACACTCTGCTCCTGTCACACACTGCTCCTGTCACACACTGCTCCTGTCACACTCCTGTCACACACCTGTCACACTCTGCTCCTGTCACACACTGCTCCTGTCACACACACTCTGCACCTGTCACACCTGTCACACTCTGCTCCTGTCACACTCTGCTCCTGTCACACACTGCTCCTGTCACACACTGCTCCTGTCACACACTGCACCTGTCACACACTGCTCCTGTCACACTGTGCTCCTGTCACACTCTGCTCCTGTCACACTCTGCTCCTGTCACACTCTGCTCTTGTCACACTCTGCCTGCACACTGTCCTGTCACACACTGCTCCTGTCACACACTGCTCCTGTCACACCTGCACCTGTCACACACTGCTCCTGTCACACTGTCACACTGTGCTCCTGTCACACTCTGCACCTGTCACACTCTGCTCCTGTCACACTCTGCTCCTGTCACACTCTGCTCCTGTCACACACTGCTCCTGTCACACACTGCACCTGTCACACACTGCTCCTGTCACACTCTGCACCTGTCACACTCTGCACCTGTCACACACTCTGCTCCTGTCACACACTCTGCACCTGTCACACTCTGCACCTGTCACACTCTGCACCTGTCACACTCTGCACCTGTCACACTCTGCACCTGTCACACTGTGCTCCTGTCACACTCTGCTCCTGTCACACTCTGCACCTGTCACACACTGCTCCTGTCACACTCTGCTCCTGTCACACTCTGCTCCTGTCACACTGCTCCTGTCACACACTGCACCTGTCACACTCTGCTCCTGTCACACACTGCTCCTGTCACACTCTGCTCCTGTCAGTTGCTCAGAGCCTCAGACGTGTTCGTTATGACGTCATGATTATATTATTATTATTATTATGAGATCTTCTTCTTCTTCTTCTTCTTCTTCTTCTTCTTCTTCTTCTTCTTCTTCTTCTTCTTCTTCTTGAAGCTGCTGCAGTAAAAGCCTCCGATGTTTCGCTCTGGACGATGACCTCGGCCGTCGGAGCCTCTCACACTCGTCGACCGTCACACAGGTTCCTGCTGTGATCATGGAAGCTGCTCTAGAACCTTCTCTGATAAAACACACATGAACAAACGTCACTCCTCAGGACTCGGACTCGGACCAGACACAAAAACAGAAACAGAACTTAAGAAAAACACGGGAGACGTTTGTTTCAGTTTTTATTAAAAACTGGACTCAGACTCTTAGTGCAGTTTTACAAAAGTGCAGCTCAAAATACATTCACCAAAAACTCAAACATTTACAAGATTTTAGTCTAAAACATCTGAGAAACACGACTAAAACCAGAACTAAACCAGGACTAAACCAGAACTAAACCAGGACTACGATCTTCTTTTACAATAGTTAAAATAATTACATGTTATAAAATAAAAAATAAAAATAAATATTCTTCTGTAGATGCACACCTCCCTCTGGTGGACAAACAGAGAACTACACCCAAAACACAACAACAACTCAGACCCGGTCCTGGTTTAGTCCTGGTTTAGTCCTGGTTTAGACCTGGTTTAGACCTGGTTTAGACCTGGTTTAGTCCTGGTTTAGACCTGGTTTAGACCTGGTTCAGTCCTGGTTTAGTCCTGGTTCAGTCCTGGTTTAGTCCTGGTTCAGTCCTGGTTCAGTCCTGGTTTAGTCCTGGTTTAGTCCTGGTTTAGACCTGGTTTAGTCCTGGTTTAGTCCTGGTTTAGTCCTGGTTAGTCCTGGTTTCCTGGTTCAGTCCTGGTTTAGTTTAGTCCTGGTTTAGTCCTGGTTCAGTCCTGGTTCAGTCCTGGTTTAGTCCTGGTTTAGTCCTGGTTCAGTCCTGGTTTGGTAGTCCTGGTTTTAGTCCTGGTTTAGTCCTGGTGGTTAGTCCTGGTTCAGTCCTGGTTTAGTCCTGGTTTAGTCCTGGTTTAGTCCTGGTTTAGTCCTGGTTCAGTCCTGGTTTAGTCCTGGTTTAGTCCTGGTTTAGTCCTGGTTTAGTCCTGTTTTCAGTCCTGGTTTAGTCCTGGTTTAGTCCTGGTTTAGTCCTGGTTAGTCCTGGTTTAGTCCTGGTTTAGTCCTGGTTCAGTCCTGGTTTAGTCCTGGTTAGTCCTGGTTCAGTTTAGACCTGGTTTAGTCCTGGTTCAGTCCTGGTTTACCTGGTTTAGTCCTGGTTCAGTCCTGGTTTAGAGTCCTGGTTCAGTCCTGGTTCTGGTTTAGTCCTGGTCCTTTAGTCCTGGTTTAGTCCTGGTTTAGACCTGGTTTAGTCCTGGTTTAGTCCTGGTTTAGACCTGGTTTAGTCCTGGTTTCCTGGTTAGTCCTGGTTTAGTCCTGGTTTAGTCCTGGTTTAGTCCTGGTTTTCCTGGTCCTGGTTTAGTCCTGGTTCAGTCCTGGTTTAGTCCTGGTTTAGTCCTGGTTTAGTCCTGGTTTAGTCCTGGTTCAGTCCTAGTTTAGGTTTAGTCCTGGTTTAGTCCTGGTTAGTCTGGTTTAGTCCTGGTTTAGTCCTGGTTTAGTCCTGGTTTAGTCCTGGTCCTGTTTAGTCCTGGTTTAGTCCTGGTTTAGTCCTGGTTTAGTCCTGGTTTTAGTCCTGGTTTAGTCCTGGTTTAGTCCTGGTTTAGTCCTGGTTTAGTCCTGGTTTAGTCCTGGTCCTGTGGAGTCCTGGTTTAGTCCTGGTTTAGTCCTGGTTTAGTCCTGGTTTGTCCTGGTTCAGTCCTGGTTTAGTCCTAGGGTTTAGTCCTGGTTTAGTTCCTGGTTTAGTCCTGGTTAGTCAGTTTAGTCCTGGTTTAGTCCTGGTTTAGTCCTGGTTCAGTCTGGTTTAGTCCTGTTAGTCCTGGTTAGTCCTGGTTTAGTCCTGGTTTAGTCCTGGTTTAGTCCTGGTTAGTCCTGGTTTAGTCCTGGTTTAGTCCTGGTTTAGTCCTGGTTTAGTCCTGGTTTTAGTCCTGGTTTAGTCCTGGTTTAGTCTGGTTTCAGTCCTGGTTCAGTCCTGGTTTTTCAGTCCTGGTTTAGTTTAGTCCTGGTTTAGTCCTGTTTTAGTCCTGGTTTAGTCTGTTTAGTCTGGTTTAGTCCTGTTCCTGTTTAGTCCTGTCCTGTTTAGTCCTGGTTCAGTCCTGGTTTAGTTTAGTCCTGGTTTCAGTCCTGGTCAGTCTGGTTTAGTCCTGGTTTAGTCCTGGTTTAGTCCTGGTTTAGTCCTGGTCCTGGTTAGTCCTGGTTTAGTCCTGGTTTTCAGTCCTGGTTTAGTCCTGGTCAAGTCCTGGTTTAGTCCTGGTTTAGTCCTGGTTTAGTCCTGGTTTAGTCCTGGTTTAGTCCTGGTTTAGTCCTGGTTTAGTTCTGGTTTAGTCCTGGTTCAGTCCTGGTTTAGTCCTGGTTTAGTCCTGGTTTAGTGGTTAGTCCTGGTTTAGTCCTGGTTTAGTCCTGGTTTAGTCCTGGTTTAGTTCTGGTTTAGTCCTGGTTTAGTCCTGGTTTAGTCCTGGTTTAGTCCTGGTTCTGGTTAGTCCTGTCCTGGTTTAGTCCTGGTTTAGTCCTGTTCAGTCCTGGTTTAGTCCTGGTTTAGTCCTGGTTTCTGGTTTAGTCCTGGTTTAGTCCTGTTTAGTCCTGGTTTAGTCCTGGTTTAGTTCTGGTCAGTCCTGGTTTAGTCCAGTCTGGTCCTTTAGTCCTGGTTCCAGTCCTGGT